CTTGTCCTCGCTAATAGAATATATACTTTGCACAGCTATTTTACTGTGGTAAATATCTATTTTTACAATCAAGTGAAAGATCATGTCCTAATCCCAGTAGTTATTTTGACTTAATTATTACGCTTGGACTTATTATATTTATTATGTAGGGCGGATCCAGAATTATGGTTCAACGGTGGCGAGACAGAAAATGGGCTAAAATAAATTGTGAAAGAAACCAAAGAAATCAAACTCTGTTGAATCTTTGAATAATTCAAGGGAGATTCAGACTAATAATATATAGTACTGGAATATGAAATGCATGAGAAATATACAAATGTTACCCTTACGAAGAAAGCAAAATAGTTTGGAGCTTGGCTAGTGTTGATGATAGAAATTTGATCAACAATCCTACTCAACTAACTATGATTTTCACTTTTTAAACTCGCTAATTTTTATGCTCAAATTAGAGCTAGAAAGGAAATAACTATTTGAGAGAGAGGTATTTGAATTGCATGCATTTCTGAGGAGATATTTATAGATTTCCTTCCAATATTTGGAATAATTTGGTCATTTTGAGAGAATGATAAATGGCGACTCCTTATTGACTCTATGTTAATAACTAATTCAATTAAGAATCACGCTTTATTCATTGATCCACGTGTTTTTTATTGATAGCCTATAACCAGCTTGAATTAGGAAAATAATTTGTGGGCTTTTGTACGAGCATTTTGTATTTTATTCCCCTCGCTTGTGTGTTACACTCCACAAGTTTCTGACTCGGTTCGCAGATTATATCTCGAGGCTCAACAGCTAGCTACAAGTATTACACTAAGTACAAGTTCGGTACATCATATTTGATTAAAGAGGATTAGATTAAGATGTATTGTTGCAAAGTAAGCTACTTATTTTTTTTATTAATAAAAGGATTATTTTATTTTGAATTTAATTGTTCCTCAAACACGTTTGGATAACTTACTTTTTCTTAATTTTAATTAAAAAAAATATTTTTTAAAAGTAACTTTTACATTCGTATCAAAATAAATAACTTACTTATTTATAACATTTTCTTGAAACTTGATCTTCATTTATAAGTAAATTTATTTTCGGTCTACTATTATTTTTTAATAACTCACCCTTTTCACATTTAAGTATAATTTTTACTTCTTTTAAAAGTAACTTTTACATTACTGTCCAAATAATAACTTTACTTATTTTTAACTTTAAATTAATAAAATATATTCTTTAGAACTTGTGTGTTTGCATGTAAGTAAATAAATGAGTTTCGAAAAAATGAGTTTTTGAAAAATAAGGCTCAAATAAGGGCAAATTTTGAAAGTACATCTAATTTCAGATGCCCCAATTGAGATTTTATTAGAATTCATTAAAATCTAGGCATCCGCAATAACTTGTGAAATTATAAGATTTCAAAAGGTTTGGATGGATTTCGAATTTAAAAACAGCATCTACATATGTCAATTTGATCCAGAGGCAACTGCGGAGATGACCCAACTGCAATACCACAATTTCCTTCACCAACAGCAAAACTTGTGATTTGATCTTATTTTATCATAGAGATATCTGTTTTTGTGTTTAAAAGGAGTAACGATACATTAGATAACATGACTAGAATAGAAGACTGACTTGTTTATTGTTTTGTTTGGTTCGGTCATTTCGTGCACATTATATGTCTTGTTTGTGCTATTTGGTATGCTAATCTCAGTGTTTGTAATAGGTAGACTTATAGCAAGAAATTTGATTGACATAAGATGCAATGAATAAGAACGATGTCGAGAAAAGGAGAAGAAAGAAAAGAAGAGGTAGAGAATTTAGAGGGAATAAATATAAACTTTTATTCAATATTCAATGTTATTACAATGAATAAACCATTTTATATAGAGCTTACATAGTCCTAATTTGATGAGGACAAAGTAAACAAGTCCTAGTTTAGTTAAACTAAAAAAATTATCAAACAATAATATAATTTTAGCCCAACTAGAAAATTATAATAAATTAATATAATTAACCATCTTTCATTTCCCATCATTTCCTTCTGTTGAGAAAAATTGACTACGTCGAAATAGACTACAACTTCATACTCTAAGGAGGTCGATTTTTTTAATTTTTTTTGTCTTTGACCAAATATCAGGATTCTCGATAGCAACATATGACTATTAAGATTTGGGGTTCCATTTTAAAATGTCAACTTTATTAAGAGGAATAGTTCAAACTCTTATAAATTAGTGTATGTTTTCATCTTTATTCGATATGAGATTTTATCTCTTAATATACCCTACAAGATGGTTGCTCATTGTAGCATACCAATTTTGAAATCCGTATGCTCAATTTTTTTTTTTAGTCTTAATCGGATCGAATTGCTCGTTGGAGCTTAACGGGTTCTATTCATGTTAAAATTTGGAGTTTCGTCTTAAAATGTCAACTTTATTAAGAGAAGTA